TGCAAAAAATATTAGTGTTTATTTGTGTAAAAGTTTCAAAGATAAACATATATTTTTTAGAACAATAAATATTTTTAGCTCAAGAAATGATTTAGCAACGGTGTAAAACTGAAAAATCGAAATTGGTAACACTGCAATGTCTGACGGATAGATAAGGTTAACGTGACGCTATTGTAAGACATTATTTCCCTATATTTTCTATAGGAGAATACACATGTCTCATGCTTAAGGCGCTGTCTTTGTATGATATGCGAGGGGTGATCCCGATTGACCACGGCTCTATTGGACACCACCAATCACAGCGACCGGTGCTTAGAAGCTTTGTAGTCTCAAGCGCTGTGAGTGGCTCGTGTCCAATTGAGCCGTGTCCAACTGGGTGCCACACGATATGCAAGAAGTCGTTACTGTAAGCGTCGGATGTTTTTGGAGAGTTTGTTTTGTTAGAAAAGGGTCGTCGTAGAAAAATGGTGGAATGTATATATAACAGCTAAATAAAAAGACTTAATCTATTTATTAATCCTACGAGTTATAATTTTAAGAAAGTAAGTTTTCAAGACGTTGACATCAAGAGATTCTGACGTACATTCGAAGCTCTCAGAAGTATTACTCTGAAAGAGTACCCCTTCTTACACTATAAATGTTTTGAAGCGTTCTTTGACAAATCATTTAGTACAATTTTTTTTCTGTGATTAGTAAATCAAATGCTTAGAAGCATTTGTAGTGAGACTTTGACGGCACTACTCAACTGATAGAATATTTTTGATTCGCGATGATGAAACAACGTTGCCACATTTTCTTCATCAAACAGTTTCAATGGCAGAAGTATCACATCTTTGGTTATATTTTTTACTATTGTTAATAAACTGAGTGGTAAAAGTTGTTTCAATCTCTCTTCAAATATATTTTTAATATGTTATACTTTATATATTAAACATAAATTTATTCGGTTCTTAACATTTCAAATATTAATATTTGTTGAAAACAGATACATAGAATCGAGTCTCCTATAAGAGAAAGAGAAATAGTCTATTATAAAATCCAGAAATTTGTTATTAATTTACAGAAAAATGCGCTGGTCAAAAAATCTGAAAAAATTTACATAAAAGCATGCTTTGTAGATAAAGCTATATTCCAAATTTCAAGCAATTATTAACATATTGCATTCTCCTTACAACTTCCTTAAGGGAAAAATGGATGTCTTCAGTCCTCAATTGCGCATTCGAAGCCGGTCACACTTTCAAAGAATGATGCATGATCACGTCGGTAGACGAATTCAAAATTTCTAGGGACATTTTTATAGAGAAAATCAGGGTAGGCCACCCTAGTTACAACCAAGGCTGGGCACATTTCATATACTTGTATTTGAAATACAGTATTTAAAATACAAATACTATATTTTAAATACTGTATTTCAAATACATTACAAAATGTATTTTATATTTTGTATTTCAAGAAGGTTATTAAATGTATTTTGTATTTCAAATATAATTTCAATGTATTTTGTATTTGAAATACAAAAAAAATCCTTGATAATGATCCTTGACAACGATAATAGTAACTTAAATTTTTTTTTCATATAACGGCGATATTGATTATTTTCGTTAACTTTCAAACAGTGTCAAGTCATCAGTGTTATCAAATCTTATAATCTCGCACAAAAAAATAAGTTTCTCGTAAGGTTCTCGTGCGGTTGGTAGCATAGAACAATATAGAACTTTTAAAGAGTACAAGAGAGTGAAGCCCCAGACACAATGCGAGGAAATAGCCATAGCGAAGAATAATATGATTTCAACCTATCAGAAATTGTGTATTCCGGTGTATCGCAAACTGTTTGTGGCAAGTGTGAAGTGACATTGTTGTTTTTTGTTCAATTATTATGTTATGTTCTCAATGTTTCCTGCCAACTTTTGTGTCGAAGGATTATATTATATTAGAATTATTTTACTGTAATGTTTAATTATAACAATTGGCGCCAAGTTAAATTCCATATAATTCAGATACCAAATTAAATAAATAATATTGACTTTAATGATATGTATTATTCCTATAAAGGGTTTGATATATCAAGAACTGGCGCCAAATCCTATTTCTTTATTTACGTAATCCAAATAACACTATCTTTAATTTTTATAAATACAATGAAACCTAAGTGTACATATATCTTATTGAAGGAGCTTTCTATTCCAATCCAAATGGTTTAAATTCCTCTTAAATGAAATTATTATATAAATACAATACATTCACACACAAAGACATTTTTCTCTTTCAATTAAAGTAGTGGGTATTTAATTCTCTTTCAAAATAATATACAAAATACGTTATCACAAAGTTGCGTTACCTTGCTCAATTTAAGTGTTACCACAAAAATTAAAGAGTTAACCGTATAAAATGAAAAAATTTAATTTAAATAGAAAAATTTTTCATGTAGAAACACTTGGCGCTGCTAGATCTCGATCTCGATATAATAACATAGAGTACTAAGATATGAATGTAATATTTAGAAAAATAAGAAAAATAAGAATGTAATGCTTAAAAAATGTAATATTTAGAAAAATAATATATTAATTAGAAAAATTAGAATCATATTAAAAAATATGAATGTTTAAGAAAATAAGAAAAATAAGAAGCATTCTCAATGAGAATTAAAGTATTTAGTGTGTGTATACTATATATGCGATTGAGTTATAAAGTCGTGTAAATTATGAACGTTGTGAATACTATTAAGTTTAAGTCTGAGAAAAATAAATTTAGATTTGTAAACATGCGTTATGAAAGAGTTCGATCTAGTAGCGCCAAGTGTTTTCACATGAAAAATTTTTCTATTTAAATTAAATTTTTTCATTTTATACGGTTAACTCTTTAATTTTTATGGTAACACTTAAATTGAGCAAGGTAATGCAACTTTGTGATAACGTTTTGTGTATTATTTTGAAAGAGAATTAAATACCCACTACTTTAATTGGAAGAGAAAATATCTTTGTGTGTGAATGTATTATATTTATACAGGGTGTCTCA